TTATTATTATTATTATTATTATTATTATTATTATTATTACTATTATTATTATTATTATTATTATTATTATTATTATTATTATTATTATTATTATTATTATGTTACTAACCTCAGTGGCAGATCCGGGGGTGGGGGTTTCAAGGGGTTCGGACGAACCCCACTCTGTGAAGAAGCGTAACTATATACTATTGGGTCCTGGCTTACAAAAGGCATGCAACCTCATAGTTACCAACCGTCTTGCTATCAAAAGTCAAAAGAACAGAAGCTTGTTATTTTTAATGTATTTAATCTTGAATTTTCTAATGTTTCTTTATTCATTTTTAAAATTATTTTAAGTACAAAAGAATTTGTTTTTGTATTGGTTTCAACTTCATCCAAAAAGAAGTTTCTGTAATATGGGAGAAATTGTTGTTTTTTTTTTTTTCCTTGTTTTCAAAATGTCTATCTACTTTTAAATTTTGATTTTTAATTTTAAAAAGATCATGCATGTGAACATGGCTCCTATTGTATAGAAGATGAATGTGCATGTTAGGTTTGTACGCAAGCTTGTCTTTGAGTCGGGTTAACCCATTGAAATCTATAAAAAAAAAAGATAATCTGCTATCAAAAAACGCCAAAGATTAAGTTAGTTATAGCTATATCTGGAAAAGCCTGGGAATAGTTTTTAATTTAGTAGACTCAAAATCAAGGTGGTTTGAGGCTTTACTTTACAGAATATAGCACTATTACGGTGGCTACTTGCCACCTGCTAATTTTCCCCACGAATTTTTTTCTACCAGAGAGTTACCCCAGGCTATTTTCCCCCATTTTTTCGATGCATTGTTCCTTCTAGTTTTCCTATTGATTTTTTCCATCATTTTCATTATACTTTATAAGAGAAAGAACATATAGAAATTTTTTTTGGGGGGGGGGGGGGTTGGGGAATTTTTTTATTTTGTGTTTTCTCTATATCAATTAATTATTGTCTAGTCGTCTTGTAAGGTTACACTAAAAAGGTGTGCCGATGATACAAAAGCGTTATTCAATCAATTGACTAATTGACTATTGATGCATTCGCAATACAGTATTGATGAAGCCTAAATACACATTGTACAAACGTTTTGAAAGTTTAAATCCGGTTTTACATAAGAAATAGAGGAAAGAAAACAGGATATCTTTATAACATTTTTCCTCTTTTGGAATTTCGATATCACACCTATTTTCTAGTCGTTCTATATACCCATATTTCTCTGCATCCACAAAATACACTCCGGCAAGTAGCGGAAGTGTTATTTTTGTACTTCTACAATACTTTTGAGGTCAATGCTCATTATAGTGATTCTCTTTTACGATACGCCTACTTTTATTTCAAATTATGTGTTAAGGTTGATGGTAGCAAATACGCCTATATTTCATTTAATTAATGTTATTTAATTTGTTTATCTATCAGAATATTAGGTCAATTTATGTTTTATAAAGTATGCGTATTATATATATATTTTTAATGTTTATGTTACTAACGTTTATTATACACCGAATGCAATGTCTTATTGTTTTAACCAACTAGGATGTGAACAGAATATTGATAATTGTGTACATATTCTTTGCTTAAAGTTACAAAATTTGTTACCATATATTGTAACAAAAAGTAGAATTTGAAATCACCAAACACATAACAACTTATTTAATTATCGGTACTCAGATATTATCTTTTGGCCCGTGAGCCCAACTCAAAATAAATGTTGGCCCTTTAAACAAATTGTTTAAGAATCAGTGGTGTAGGAGTATAACAGGAGGTGTAGAAAGAGTGTCGAATGTTAGGAAATGTTGACCACCAAAGCCTATTCATTTTTTGCTTGTTTGAGTAATGAATGTCTGTGTATAAGCCCTACATAGTCCGGGTGCTCAAATTAAGCATACATTGAAACTCGAATTTTATGTGGCTTTATTAAAAATATTTTTGTTTATGTACCTGATATTGTCAATAAACACTCCCTAAAAACAGCTTCAAAATGATCGTCAGAATGCCCAGGGGGTATCGCCCAGAACCCCACCGGGGCCTCGACCCAGGAGCCCGGCGGGGGCTCTGCTGGCCGCCGGCCCGCGTTTCAAATCACGTATTTCAATTATTTCAGGTTAGTAACTATGTAACCTACCTAGGCTTAAAACAACTAGCATTCAATTATATACAATAAAAACAGTTTTGGCTTGATGTCGTAATAATTTATGTACGAAAGTGTGTTCTTCATGCCTCTAAGTTCATCGATCTATGGAAGAAAGACTACGTATCCAACTACTCAATAATGTTGATTTCCGGCCATCTAGGAATCAAAATTTTCCCAGGGGGAGGACCCCCGGACCCCCTTTCATTTTTGGGTTTAAGGCAAAATGAACCCCCTCTTTAAAATCCTGGATCCGCCCCTGAACCTACCTTCAAAGGGAACTTAGACAATAGAGAACAATTAAAAAAAGGACGTATTATTATTCATTATTATTATTATCATCATCATCATCATCATCACCATCATTAACTTCAAGTTTGTTGTTTCCTTGAAAAACCAATTGATGCTCGATTTAGATGAAAGCAGTCATCATGTAGATAGGCTTAATTTTAGTTTTTTTTATCCTGTGCCGTAGCATAGAAGCCCCAATTTTAGACTGTCAAGTTCCTTGTGAAGTTATTGCATTACATTTTCGTAATGGAACTTGCAATGAAATAATTACAGTAATGCATTTCTCATACATATCGTAATTGGAAAATAAAATAGAAGTAAATTATTGCTTTGTAATAGGGAAATATTAATGATAATAATGAATGAAAATGTCAAAGATGACGACGGCCGATCAACGACGATAATGATGCATGACGATGATGATTATGATATAATGATGATTCCATTACATATCTGTTAATTTCATGCCTTAAATTAACTTTTTTTTTTTGCATTCGCAAACATGCCAAAGACCCCTGTTAATAAGGAAACAATGTCACGTCTTTAGTTTGTGTCCTCTGAATAGACAGTGGCTAACTGTGGGTGTAGACAATTTTCTGGGGGACCCCCCCCCCCGTCTATGTGAATAGGGGTACCGCTATATTCAGGGGACACTTTTTTTGGTGACGAAATTTCCCCTTAATAGCCGGGGGTTCCACTAAATCAGATCTTTTGAATTAATAGAGGGTGGCAGACTGATATTTATTGTCGATACGATTTACGATACGATTTATTGGGTTCACTTTTAGATCAGTGGCACCCATCACTTAGATGGTGCACCCATTAACAATATATAATATAAGCAAAGGAAAGCAAAAGACAGTTCAAAAACAACAAAAGGATAAATAGCATAACATAAACAAAACCAAGCAATTTACAGTAAAATTTTACCCTTATTAGTATATCTTTAAAAAAAAAAATTCTTACCAAAATCATAGTAAGTAAACTGAATGAAACACACTGAGCTGCACAACAACCTGTACATAGAAGTCGTGTGAAGTTACCGAATTATGTATTTATTTTATTTATTTATTTATTTTCTTTTTCTATGGACCAGGGCAGAATCAAATTCAGTATAATATTACTGGTTCTTGTACAGCTCATTGCGTTTCATCCAAGCAATATAAAGGTATTTTTTACAATATTTGTCGAAGATAAAACTTGTATCATTGTAATCAGAATCAACCAAACTGTATTTAAGGGGAAATTCATTATGGATAGACAGGTCATCAAAGAAAAGATGGTGTCTAAAATTTGCTAAACTTGAAGTAAACATATCCCAAAATATATCAAGGTTGTATTCATATAAGTTCAATTTTAAGTTCCTGGAAAATTGTATCTCTAATATTGTTAAATTTACAGCATTCAAAAACAAAGTGATCTACTGTTTCTTCACAACCACTTTTACACAATTTGCAAAGACCTGTGTTTACAGTTGACCAGGCTTCTTTGCGACCTTCTAAATCAAGTGAGTTTGATCTAGCTTTAAATTTAAAAGCCACTTCTGAAAAGTTACATTTGACATCAGCTCTCATTACTATTATTATTAATATACAGTTAATAGCATTCTTCATTTTTTCCTATAAACTTTCAATTCGGTCAAAAAACCATTACAATACTATTTTAAAATCTTTATAAAACGTTTTTCAGCAGACCAGGCCACGGCATATTATCAGAATTTTTCAATTGTTTATTCAGCATTTCAGCAAGGCAGGACGAAGTAGCACCTAGTATTACAGCAGTCTATACTGTATCTGTATAGTGTGGGGGTGGGTGAATATTGTGCCTGAATTGGATAGGCCTATATAAATTAATCGTTTGCACGCCGATGAGATACGAAAAACACCATCCTTAGTTTAAGATGCCCTGTATGAGCGTCTAGAAGCTTATTTTTAAAAACATCTCAATGGGGAGGGGATTTGCGAGGGGTACACCCCTCCCCAAACCTCCGATGAATAAGATGCTTTAGCTAGGGGAACCAGCCCTCCTTGTTACACCACTGCAGAGAGAAAATGTGCAATTGATTTTCCC